CCCGGACACAAAAGACCAAAAACCCAAAAAGACCTAACCCTAAACCCTAAACCCTAAACCCTAAACCCTAAACCCTGAACCCTGAACCCTGAACCCTGAACCTCTCTTTCATTTTAAATTTTAATGTTCATGAGTTACTGGGCAAGGCCATTTTTTTTGACTGGGCAAGGTCATTTTTTTTACTGGGCAAGGTCATTTATTACTGGGCAAGGTCATTTTTACTGGGCAAGGTCGTTCGGTCGAAAAAAAAGACCTTGCCCAGTAAGAAATGACCTTGCCCAGTAACAGGGTTACTGGGCAAAGGTTGTTTTTAACTGGGCCAAGGTCGTTCGGTCTAAAAAACGAGGGTTACCGGGCAAGGTCTCTTTTACTGGGCAAGGTCAGATTGTTTTCTGGGCAAGGTCACGTTTTTGCTGGGCAAGGTCATGCTTTTACTGGGCAAGGTCATTGTTTTTTACTGGGCAAGGTCATTTTTTTTACTGGGCAAGGTCACTTTTTTACTGGGCAAGGCTTCTTTTTTCTGGGCAAGGTCATTTTTTACTGGGTAAGGTCGTTCGGTCTAAAAAAACGACCTTGCCCAGTAAAAAACAACCTTGCCCAGTAAAAAATGACCTTGCCCAGTAACAGGGTTGCTGGACAAAGGTCATTGTTTTTACTGGGCAAGGTCGTTCGGTCTAAAAAACGAGGGTTACTGGGATAGGTCTTTTTTTTACTGGGCAAGGTCATTTTTACTGGGCAAGGTCGCTTTTTTTACTGGGCAAGGTCATTTTTTTACTGGGCAAGGTCATTTTGTACTGGGCAAGGTCTTTTTTTACAAATATTTCTTAATGTTGTGGGGTTCTTTGGGCGGGTGGGTATTTTCCTGGAGCAATTGCTTGACTAGTGAATGCTTGGACTTGAGATGCTGACCCCTAAACCCTAAACCCTAAACCCGCTGAAGAACCGAGGCTCTGGGCGGTCGACGGTCGACCAGGCGGTTGTGGGCCCCGGCTGCAGCGTGCCGTCATATCGGAAGATCTGCGCCTCTCTTTGGGTGACGAGGGCTCTTAGGGTTTAGGGCTCTTGGGCTTGATGTGGGGTTTAGGGTTTAGGGTTTAGGGTTTAGGGTTTAGGGTTTAGGGTTTAGGGTTTAGGGTTTAGGGTTTAGGGTTTAGGGTGTGGGGCTAGGGTTTAGGTGTTCGGGCTTGAAGCTGAAGGACCTTAGCGTGGAGTACTTGGGTCCAGCAAGCTTAAGGCCCATGACCTGAAGTCAGCCACACCCTCGGCCCGACGGGCCTTTTGCTGCCGGGTTTCGGGATGAGGCTTAGGGCCAAAAACCCTAAACCCTAAACCCTAAACCCTAAACCCTAAACCCTAAACCCTAAACATTTCGTTGCCAGTCTCAGTTGCCGTTTTGCCGCCGATGTGGGAGATGGAAAGGTGGTTCTCGTCCACAGCTCCCACGCGAAACTTCCCGATCTGCAGGCACTGTTGCAGGTTTAGGGTTTAGGGTTTAGGGCTTAGGGTTTAAGGTTTAGGGTTTAGGGTTTAGGGTTTAGAGTGTAGAACTTTTTAGAGGTGCCTGGATGCACGGGGAGCCTTCACACCTGTGACCCGGGACCCCAAACCCGCAACCCTAAACCAAGCCCCTTCCCACCTAAACCCATATAACGCCCTCTGAAAGTCCTGGTCCCCCTAAACCCCCTAAACCCTAAACCCTGAACCCTGAACCCTGAACCCTGAACCCTGAACCCTAAACCCTAAACCCTAAACCCTAAACCCTAAACCCTAAACCCTAAACCCTCAACCCCCCAAATAAAGCCCTCTGAAAGGCCTGGATGAACTGGAAGCCGAAGCTGATCCCCTTCGCCGCCCCGATGGACCTGCCCCAAGCGCCAAAGTCCTGAGCAGATTCGGGTTTAGGGTTTAGGGTTTCGGGTTTAGGGTTTAGGTTTCGGGTTTAGGGCATCGCCTAATGTAGGGGCCTTGATCATTCAAATTGGGCTATACTAGACCCATCGCCTAATGCAGTGGCCTTAACATCGCCTGATGAAGGGGCGGTTCAAGACGTGGAAGGACACAGGATCAACGGCCTGATGGGGGGGGGGGGGGGGGTTTAAGATATGAGATCGACCGCACTCGCCTCATGAGGGGCTGGGTTTAAGACACATGTCCATCCTCAGCTTCTTCAGAATTTGAATGGCCATGTTGGCCATGGCTCAAGGCCGCTTTTTCTGCTCAAGTTACGCGCCGCTACGTGAAGGTCACTGTGGGAGGGGGCTTGCGGGTTGTGGGATCACCCGCGCTCGCCTGGTGGATTTGAGATACGATTTCGACCACGATCGCCTACTGGGGTGTTCAAGATAGGAGATCGGAGCCACCTTCTCGCGAGGGGTCGGGTTTCAGCGATGAGCCGCACCGCCTTCACTTCATAAGGGGTATAATATAATATACTACCATATAACACAATATAATGTAATGTTTTATAATGTAACATAATCTCTTTTTATATAATATAATATAATATAATATAATATAATATAATATAATATAATACAATAAAATATAAGATAACATAATATAATATAATATAAATATGGAGCCAGCCGCGGCTGTTTCAGAATCGACCGGTTCAAGCTTTCGAACTCGCAACTCGGCGGACCGTCAAACTTTCGAACTCGGCACATTTCCAACCTTCAAACTTGTTGAACTTTTCCAAATCCTCGAACTCTCAAACTCTCGCCCTTCCATGCCGTTCAAACTTTCGGGCTCTCCAACTTTCGAACTCCAATATTCAATGTTTGAAGCTTCTGAGCTGTCACCGCAGTACCCAGCCGCAGACCGAAACTGAAACTCCAAGCTTTCGAACTGTCGACCAATCAAGCTTAGAAGCTGTAGAACCTTCAACCTCGAAACTTTCGAACCTGTCAAAGTCGGAACTCTCAAAATTTCAACGATTCAACCTCTCAAATTTTGAGCGCCGACCGATCTCGGCCGCGGCAACAGTGCAAACGTTGAGTTCGAAGCAGCGGACCGAGCTCGAAAGTTCGAAAGCTTGAGAGTTCGAACGATTGAATATGTGGACATTGAGATGCTCGAGTTTGAACTTTTCGAGTTTTGACAGCACCTTTCAAACCTTCAAAGGCTGACCTTTTTCTTTTTATAATGTTACCAGACCTTCAAACTCCCAAAGCTTCGACTTCGAGCGACCTCGCTCGGGACACCAGCTGTTTGCCTTCCCCCCCAAAAAAAACCAGCACAAAAAACAATGCATCATCTCAAGGGCTTGGGGCGCTCAAAGGCCATGACAAATCCGTGACCAATTGTTAGTATTCATATCGTTGGGTATTATGAGTATTCTTGCCATTATGCCTATGTTATTAACCCTAAACCCTAAACCCTAAACCCTAAACCCTAAACCCTAAACCCTAAACCCTAAACCCTAAACCCTAAACCCTAAACCCTAAACCCTAAACCCTTTTGGGGAGGGCTTTAACTGCGCCTCGGGGTGCCTGGTGTGGGGCTGCGGGATTTTGGCGGCGAGGGGTTGGCAGTCATTCGCCGGAAGGCGTGGGGCGCAGCGTTTCTAAACAATAAACCCTAAACCCTAAACCCTAAACCCTAAACCCTAAACCCTAAACCCTAAACCTCCCGGTGTAGCACAAATGGCCCCCCCTCTCTCTGGAAGCTCCAGCTGAGACTCACTGCGTGGCCCTGGATGCTGTGTGCCCTCCTTGTGGAAGATCTGCGCCGTTTTCCCATCCTGCCGAGAAGCCCTTAAGGCGAAATCCCGGTTCCGAGACCTCCTCTGATCCCCCTACCAGAAACACGAGAATACGATGCCACAATACTATAATACTAGACTACCATCATAATATCATACTACAATTCTACAAGTTTAGGGTGTAGGATCTGGGGTTGAGAGTGTTTTCAGGCCGAAACCCGAAACCTCAAAACCCTGCACTCGAGCCGCAAAGACTGAACCGGCGTATACTACAATACCATAACACTACAATACTAGAATACTACAACTATAATTATACTATAATACTAGAACACAATGCTAGTACTATAATACTAGCATACAATGATGATGCTATAAAAACTACAAAGCGTGTGTCCTTGTGTGAGATGCTGAAATGGTTGTCGTCAATGGCGGCAAGGCGCCACTTACCCAGCTGAATGAAGCGGTCCCCCATGGGAAGGTCATAACACGCTGACGCCGAGTGTGTGGTGTGAACCTAGACAGAGAGGTTGATGCCTCAAAAGCAATCCGTATGATGTTAATCAACTACTACGTCTACTACTCTTCCAGTCATCTACAATGTTCCCATCAGAATCTCCCCCCCCCCCCCCCCCCCCAATAGCCCTAAAGAGTCGACGCTCGGGCGCAGCATCATTGGGCCTTCCCGCCAGCATGATGTGGGCATGACATTCTCCCGGCTCTTTTCAGCCCTCTGGCAAAATACAACATGCAGCATACTTGCACGTGTCAAGTGCAGCTGGTTGTGCTTGGGCTTACGGCTCGAAGATTGGAGCCCTTAATGCCCGACATCTGCGGCAGGTTTAGTGTTGATGCCACTGCTGCTGCTGCTGCTGCTGCTGCTGCTGAAAAGGATGGAGATCCCAGCATCTTATGATATAGTGGGGCACCCTGGCAAATGCAAGGAGACATGTACTGGAACTCCGGTAACAAAAGCGTGCAGATCACCTGAGCTCTCTCCACCCAGTTTGATGCGACATTCACAATGGACACTCAATGAACACTCTGACCACTGCAAATGGACCCGTATCGTAGACGACCTAGACCCTTTATTGGAGTTTGGTGCAACTTGGGGGTCTGACGAGTTCAGGTGAGGGGGCGGGGGGGGCGGGGCTGCAGGGGCGAGGGGAGGGTCCCCCAAACAAAAACCTGATTGTTTTCTGTTGTTCCCCGTGTGCGGGCGCCGGATTAGTACTTTTTTGAACTGGTACTAGTTATAGTTAGAGCAACAACTGGAGTACGAGCGATGGTAATCGCGACAGTAATAGCAATGGCAATCGTATTATGGTAGCAGTGATAGCAACGAAAGAAAAAATCCCTAAGTTTGATAGTAAGTATAGCAGTGGCAGAAGTCGAGCAATAGCAATTGCAATAGACTCAGAAGACAGCTACGGGCCGGACAATGGTTGCGTTGATGGGTATCCCCGTAAACAGCCAGAAACAAAATCCAGAATTTCGGCAGCCCGGATTCACCAAAAAAGTTGGGCCGGGAAAGCTTTTCACTATACAGGGGCCTCAACACCACGAGGTTAGGGACTTCAAGAAAAGTTTCTAACTTTGCAGTCGGTTGACGGGACCTATGGCATATGGGTGTGCATCCTCATCATCCTCAACATAGAACATCGTCAAGCATTAAGACACATTGAACGGTTCCTGCTGTGCAAGGTCCGGCTAGGATTGCGCATGCTAATGGACAATACAAGGGCCACAATCCGAAACTTTAACCACGTAACTACAACAGGGGTTAAGGGGTATATTTCAGAATGCTTGAACCAGAGAACCCCAAAGAAACGTATGCTAAGCCCTAAACCCTAAACCCTAAACCCTAAACGCTAAACCCTAAACCCTAAACCCTAAACCCTAACTATTCACCAGGGAGCATGCTGGGCGACCTGCGATGCGGGGAGGACGGTCACCATGGCTGGTGGAGGTCGGCCGGCGAACTTGCAACCCAGCTCCTTGGTTGCTGAGGCAAGGATTAGGGTTTAGGGTTTAGGGTTTAGGGTTTAGGGTTTAGGGTTTAGGGTTTAGGGTTTAGGGTTTAGGGTTTAGGGTTTAGGGTTTAGGGTTTAGGCGTCATATAGGGGTCTTAGGAATTCGAATGTGGAATGGGTATCTTACGGTAAAGGTATCATAACACCAGGGAGTCATATTGGCAACTGCATAGGCTTCTACATTACATCGTACGTTGGGGAGGAAGCCGGCAGGGTTGTGGAGATTATGTGCATATTCTATTGCCAGGAGAAAAGGATTCGGGGCTGCCTGCTTGTCGCCCTGAAGTCTGGGGTCAACAGGCTCCAACGAGAGTGGGGCTTCAGGTGGTGGTCACTTTAGAACGCATATGCAATTATAATCATACTAGTAATAATAAAAAAGTAATAATAATAAGAATCATAAGAATAAGAATAAGAATAATAATAAGAATAAGAATTTGAATAAGAAGAATAATCAGAATAAGAATAATAAATGCATCCGGGTCTCTGCGGCACAAGGAGCCGTATCGAAGCCTGGGGATGTGAAGACCTCTTTGCAGTACCTTCGCAGCAGCTTGCACGTGGTTCGCACGGCCTTTCATAGGCATCCTATGAGCCTAAACCCCTAAACCCTAAACCCTAATTACGCCCTATAGCGCATGACGCTATAGCCCAATAAGCAACCCAACAACCTGCGACCCGATTTCTGCGCACACCCTGAGTCCGAAACCCAAAAAAGGTTTAGGGTTTAGGGTTTAGGGTTTAGGGTTTAGGGTTTAGGGTTCATACAACCTGAGAACCCGGCAACAACCTCTATTTGTTTCAGTATTATCAGCGCGTATTTATTCAGGAACTGCACCAGTATGCCAGTACTAAATCCCGACATAACTTCAGTAGCCCTACGAAATCATATGAAAACAGTCCAACTACAAGACAAAGACCCCACGAAGACAAGTAAATCTCAAAACATCCTGTACATGACCTAGTACCCATATGGGGGTTTACCCCTAATATGGACCCTTAAATAATAGGATTCCAATATAATCAGGACCCCAATAAGGTACCCCTAATATCGGAAACCCCCTAAACCCTAAACCTAAACCCTAAACCCTAAACCCTAAACCCTGAATCCCCATATCCCCCACATTTTTCACGCCCTGGGGCAGCTTTGTGGGGCCGAGGAGTTGCATGGAGGGCGTGGTGAAGTCCAAATGGAGATTCGGAATGAGGCCCGTGATGGTTCCTTTCAGGGGCTTTAGGGTTTAGGGTTTAGGGTTTAGGGTTTAGGGTTTAGGGTGAGTTTGGGGCTTTGGGTTCACGATTTCATTGCTCACGTTCTGCGGTCTGGGGTCTGATGGCTCCTTTGGGCTGGATGTTTTGCTTGGTTTGTTGGCGAAGGGCCTTGGGGTGTCGTTTGTCTTCATGGCCCTAAAGAGTTCAGCATTACCATTGCAGTTACTCTATATCTATATCTATATCTATATCTACATCTATATCTATATCTATATCTATATCTATCTCTCTATACATGCATACATGCATATATACATACGCTTACTATTTATTGTTGATAACATGCTACTAGACTAGTAACAGTACCTATCGCAACTCGCATCTCTCTGAGGACCTTCTCGGAAAAGGGGCCTCTGCATTTCAACGTTTGCGCTGAATATCCGGCTTGGGGCGAGTTGGCTGTGACCCCGCAACATATGGCCAAAAGTCTCCGATTCTATTCTCAACTCAACACTCCGAACCTCCCCAGACTCTTCCCAAAGCCTTAAACATCAGGCCGTTCAACTCACCCTAGACCCTAAACCCTAAATCCTAAACCCTAAACCCTAAACCCTAAACCCTAAAGGACATGAGGTCACGGGTGCCACGAAGGCTGCGAGCCGTCTCCAGCACCCTGAGCCTTTCCTCTCAACCTTCAACCACAAGGTCCCAATTTAGTATTGTGTAATTTAGTATTATGTGATTTGGTATTATGTAAGTTAGTATTATGTGATTTAGTATTCTGTAAGTTGGTATTGTGTACTGTGGTAGATTATGGTTACATAATTCATACTAGTATGTGTTGACTGTTTATTCAGTCCTATGAGTCCTACGTACCCGAAATCCTCCCAACGCCTCTCATGCCCCGGACCCTGTCTAAACCCCAAGAGCCCCTGAAGAAGCCTTGTCCCACATCCTAAAGGCCCCCTAAACCCTAAACCCTCAAAACTCTGAACCCCCAAACCCTAAACCCTAAACCCTAAACCCTAAAGCCTAAACCCTAAACCCTGAAACTCTAAACCCCTAAACCCCAAAACCCCTAAGAGCCCTCAACTCTGAGCCCTTCGGAGCTCCGGCGGCCGCGCGAGCCGCATCCATCACGAAATCCGTCACTGCACCGGCCTCGCTTCTGGGGGTTTGTAGGGGTCTAAGTGGCTTAGGGGTTTTGTAGGGGGTTTTAGGGTTTAGGGGGTTTGGGGGTTTAGGGGTTTTGGGGTTTTGGGGTTTAAGGTTTAGGGGTTTTGGGGGTTTTGGGGGTTTGGGCTTCAAGGGCTTGTGGAGTTGGCGTGTTGTGGCGTCAAGTCATCGTCTAAGTCTTCGGGGTTTTCTGGGGTTTGAGATTTGGGGTCTGCAGGATTGAGAAGGGTTTAGGGTTTATGGTTTAGGTCAGAGACAGGGTCTCCCGAGTCGCCGGTTTAGGGATTGCGGGCGGGGCGAGCCTAGGGCAAGCACGACATCACCTACCAGAAATAAAGAAACTTGCGAACTGGGGGTTTAATAAAAAGCCGAAGGGTAACAAGAAAGCCCCGTAATGATGGGGCCACCCCGTTTTCTTCAGCCAGTTTGAACAAGGAAATCCCAAAAGGGCACACCTGACTATGAACCCCTAAGCCCACATGCTCACACAAACATGTGGGTGGTTGTCAAAATTGTGGTCATTTTTGGGATCCCTATTACAATACGGAACGTAATAGTTAGGGTACGTGCCGGCATTACTGTGCCAAGTGTTTGACATTGAACTCCTGCAGCAAGCCAAACCCCCAAAAGCCCTAAACCCTACCCTAAAACCCGAACCCCCTAAACCCGACAAACCCTAATCTCTAAACCCCCAGAGACGACGACCCCTGCGGTTCCGAGGTCCGTACACACTCTACACTACGCGTGCATGGAATTTTTGGCCTACAAGGCCCTGAAACACTACAGCACTCAAGCCAGAAACCCATCTGAACCCTAGCCTCTGAACTCTAGAAACCCTAGCCCTAGACCTAAACCCATCTAATCTACAATCCCTAACCTCTGAACTCTATAAACCCCAGCCCTAAGCCTAAACCCATCCAGACCCGAACCTCTGATGTCTGAATCTTCATATGAAGTAGGGTCTATAGTTCTTGTACCCCTAGAAGGACAGCCAGCATGGACACTCACAAAAAAGGAACCTCATATACACTCACCAAAAACAGAAATATAAACCCTGTCTCATATAGACTAGGTTGCCCTTCGAACCTTTTAAACAAAGATATTCATATCCTCTTGGGTTTTATATAAACAAAAAAATTTTGAATATACTCTTGAATTTTTTTATAGACAATATAACAAATATTTCCCAAGGGGGAATATACTGGAAGGCCCAAGCGGCACCAGGGATGCAGGCCGCCGGGCCAGTGATGACGCTGACCAGGGCCGTGGCTCCCTTTAGGATCCTTGTTGCGATGTGTAGTTTAGGGTTTAGGGTTTAGGGTTTAGAGTTTAGGGTTTAGGGTTTAGAGTTTAGGGTTTAGGGTTTAGGGTCGTTTTGGGGGTGTCCCTTAAAAATTCGGTGCCGCATTCTCATAGAGATCCAAAAAGGGACCATGATTTTGACAAGCACCCTTAAGTTGCGATGTGTAGTTTGGGCTCCGGGTTTAGGGAGAGGGTCTTTGAAGTATCAGAAGCCGTAAACCTCAACTTTGAAATGTTCCAGGGCTGATCTCATGAGTCGATGACGGTTTAGGGTTAAGGGTTAAGGGTTTAGGGTTTAGGGTTTAGGGTTTAGGGCATTTTTTTGCCCAGGACTGGGACTGAGTTGAAGGATGGCATTTAAGTGTTGCAAATTGAAGGTTTGGGGTTTCTAAGCTTCTGGTTAAGAATGTTGCTAGGATTGGCATTATTGTTCGTATTCATTGATTGTTCCATTGTCACTATTTGTATTGCGCATTCCCCGCTCTCCTCCACCCAAACCATTCGTCCCAAAGGCTGTGCCCTTCAGCCACTACGTACCCCAAACCCCAAACCCCAAACCCCAAACCCCAAACCCCAAACCCCAAACCCCAAACCCTAAACCCTAAACCCTAAACCCTAAACCCTATAAACCCTAAACCCTAGTCTCTAAACCCTAAACGGCTAAGCATCGATTCTTCTATCTTCTCCTTGATCCAGCCGGTTCCCAGCTGTGCGCTGATTGGCTTCGGTATCGCGAAGCCTCGCCCACAAGGCCGAGCATCAAGGATTAGGGCTTAGGGCTTAGGGCTTAGGGCTTAGGGTTTAGGGTTTAGGGTTTAGGGTTTAGGGTTTAGGGTTTAGGGTTTAGGGTTTAGGGTTTAGGGTTTAGGGTTTAGGGTTTAGGGTTTAGGGAAAGAACTTCCGTGTGCTCCCTCGCAGGCAGCAGATCTTGCGCCTTGAATGTCGACATCGGCATACAGGTTCACGGCCGCAGCTCCACACCTGGCTTCTTCAATAAGGAAGCCCCCGGGGCAAGTTCGATCTTCTTGGTGCAGATCCCAAGAAGAAAGGGTTTAGGGTTTAGGGTTTACGGTTTAGGTTTTAGGGCTGCTACAACAAATCTAAAGCTCTCCCATCTTGCTGAGGCAGACACATGTCGATGTGGTGCACTTGGCTGGTATTGGCAGTGACCGCTGTCCTGGGACCATTTAGGGTTTAGGGTTTAGGGTTCAGGGTTTAGGGTTTAGGGATCCTTCCCATTCAGACAAACAATCTGATTCTTCCAGAAGTCTTCTTGAACCCTTTTGGAAACCTTATCGCGAACCTGTTTTCAACCCCTATGTAGAAGCCTGAAAGAACCCAAAAAGGAGCCTTCTGATGTAGGGGCCTTAATGATTCGAACAGGGTTTTGCGGCCCATATTATAATAAGGCGAAAATTTCAGCCCCAATATTAAACCCTTATAGTAACCCCTATTGAACCCTTTAAAGGAACCCTAAACCCTAAACCCTAAACCCTAAACCCTCCTAAACCCTAAATCCTAAAGAGTTTTAGTTTTAGGCCCCAAAATTAGAATCCATGAGCCTCTCCTGGACGTCACCGCCTGGGTCTCTGCAAGGGACATGCCGGAAGAAAGTCGCAGCGTGCCCTGTGCCCGAACCTGAGGGTTTAGGGTTTAGGGTTTAGGGTTTAGGGTTTAGGGTTTAGGGTTTAGGGGCTTAGGGGTGCTATAAGGGTTCTTTAAGGGTGCCCTTACAGGTATATACTTCGTCTGCGCTGGTAAGCGTGCGATGCGGCTTCTCTCAAAAGGCTCTATTAGAGGTGCGGAACTTGTGGCTTCAGGTTTGAAGCTTGGTGGGCTTTCCGGCTTGGGGCTCTGTTTTAGTAATCGTATTTCAAGGCTTCAGGGTCTAGGGTTTCGGGGCACTGTTCCATTCATGGGGCTTCGGGTCTCGTAGCAAAAAAATCGTCAGGGCTCACAAGCACAATCCCTTTCCTCTCACACTCGGTCTCCAGTTCCCTGGTCACTGGAGCCCTCTTTACCTGCAAAACAACCCTAAACCCTCAACCCTAAACCCTAAACCCTAAACCCTGAACCCTAAACCCACAGTGCACCTCTGCGTTGAACATGGGGTTGATGACGATCGGAACGCCAGGCATGGGCCAAACCTCGCCCATCATGGCATGGGCTAGGGCGGCTAGGGATGGCCCGAAAGCCTTCCAAGCGTCCCCGAAACCCTAAACCCTAAACCCTAAACCCTAAACCCTAAACCCTAAACCCTAAACCCTAAACCCTAAACCCTAAACCCTACAGCTGCAAGAAAGCCCTGGGGCGAGGAATGCTTCTTAACTCTTGGGCTCCCCTAAGCCCGGATTGCGAAGACAAAAACTCGAAGGTCCTGGGCCGCGGAGAACATTACTGGCAAAGCACTAGAGTAGGGTTTAGGGTTTAGGGTTTAGGGTTTAGGGTTTAGGGTTTAGGGTTTAGGGTTTAGGGTTTAGGGTTGAGGGTTTAGGGTTGAGGGTTGAGGGTTGAGGGTTGAGGGTTTAGGGTTGTTCTACCCATGTGCTCCCGTATACTTTACACTCTCGGGGGTGATCTGGTAGGGTCGAGATGTGAAGCTCGCCCATGATGATTGCTGCTTCTGACTTGCCAAGTAGGCCTTGGCTCGGTGAGCAACCTATGAGCTTTACAATCTCTAAAGCCTGAACCTTGAAAACGACGCCCAAAGGCCTGAACAAAACAGCTAAATCCTAGACGCTAAACGCCTCAACCTTGAAACCGTGAACATGAAACGCAAACCTGAATCCTTGGCCAGGCCGCTGTCAGTACCGGACCCATGCCGACTCGGACGCTGCCGAACGCCGACGCTGCCAGGCCAAAACCCTCCTTCGAGCAGGACCGCGATTAGGAGTAGCAGCAGCAGCAGCAGCAGCGGTGCAGTAGTGCTGGCGGTAGTAGCATGTCGTCGTCGTAGTAGTAGTTATGAAAGCAGCAGCAGCAGCAGCAGCAGCAGCAGCAGCAGCAGCAGCAGCAGCAGCAGCAGCAGCAGCAGCAGTAGCCGTAGCGCAACTGCGGTGGCGACATAACGAAGACGATTGTAGCAAACGTGGGGCAAGAGCAGCAGCATGACTCGCAGTTATACTGATATTCGGTTCGCTGGCCAGAAATGCGACAATGACAGCTCTAGCCGGTCCCTGAGTGCCCGCAGGTCCAGCACAGCCATCGTACATGTCAGAAGGGCCACAACGAGAACTACAACAAATCCAATGACGACTGCAGCGGCGGCAGCTATAAGTACTATTTTTACTACGTACCACCTCGACAAAGACCGTTCCACCTTTAATCCCCACCCTCCTCCCTCATTCCTCCTCCTACTCCTGCTTCTACTCCTACTCCTACGACTACTCCTACGACTACTACTACTACTACTACTACTACTACTACTACTACTACTACTACTACTACTACTACTACTACTCCTACTCCTACTCCTACCACAACGACGACGACTACTACTACGACGACGACTACTACTACTACGACGACGACGGCGACTACAACTAGTACGACGACCACAACAAGAACGACTGCGACCAACCACATGCTCATGATAGAAATTTTTATTGCAGTCGTCGTCATCACCACCGCGAAAATGAGCTGCAAGATCGGGGAGAAAAGGAGCTGTGAGCAGGACTCAGGAACCAGAATGCGATAAAGCTACAAAAAACGTCAACATAGCAACAGCAGGGCAAGGACCATATTACCATTGTCAAACGAAGCAACAACCGCAACAAGGGCAGTTTGATGGCCTACTTTATTAATGGCCCCTCTATTCAGGTACTCTTCTCAAGGGCAACACCACAAAGGATCCCAAAAGGGAGACCTGAATCCAAAACACCCTAAACCCTAAACCCTAAACCCCAAACCCCAAACCCTAAACCCTAAACCCTAAACCCTACCTTGCCTGGTGCTTGATGGTCGGGTTCTGGAAGTCGGCGTCTGCGTGGCCCCCTGGGTTCACGAGGACGGAGCCCTGGATGTGAAAATCGGCACTGGCGCCGACCTCTGCAAGAAAGAGGTCCCCAAGGCTGCGTTGCAGAGGGTTTGGGGGTTAGGGTTTAGGGTTTGGGGTTTAGGGTTTAGGGTTTAGGGTTTGGGGTTTAGGGCTCCTGGAAGGCGTGATGCATCTGCTCTATGGGATCGGACTCCGATAGAACTGAATACGCACTTCGCAAGGCATCATCTTGACGTATTCTCTTCAAGGTCTGCAAGAGCGGGCGACCTTCTCAAAATCCTTGGAATCCAGGGCTTCGCGCTTTGGGGGAGCACTAGTGTCACTAGCTTGGAAGGCTTCAGATTCATGGTATACAACATGTCGAGTCGTGTGTTGTCACATGGCTGCTGTATTTTCTGGAGATGACATTACTACCCCCCCCCCCCCCCCATGAAAGACAACAGCAAGGATACCAGGTATCAAGAACAACACGTCACAATGCAGGGCTGAGGGTTTAGGGTTGTGTAGAACCCTTATCAAGTAACTCCCTTCCCGCAATGACTTGGATCCTCGTACTAAGGCCCTTTGCAGACAAAGGGACGGACTTTTTCGTCAGGGTCTACACTGACTGTCAGAAATGGATCCTTGAGCTACTCAGATATTCCTTCAACCATAACGAGAGTCCCCGTTCGATTGAAGGAGTATGCTGAGTATTCACAAAAATTCCCTGGTTCTTAGTAGGGACTGAGGGAATGAGGTACCCTATATATACCCTTTAAGGGATTATATAGGGTACCTCATTCCCTCATTCGCTCATTCCCTACTAAGAACCAGCCAGAAGAAGGGTGTCCGGGCGTCCTCGGAAGAGTCTGCTCTAGCTTCAAAGACGTGCCGTGTCAAACCCGGGTCAGAATGTAGGGGCCTCAATAATCAAAGCAGGGTTCGGGTTTGTTTATCGAAAATGATAGGGACTATAACTATAAGGGGATACCATTATTGAGTGTAGCATTGTTCGGCTTGTCAGGTGACAAACAAGGGTATCCGGGGACTTAACTTGAGTTACCAGGTACCAACTATACCGAAGCCTCACTATCCTGTACGCCCCGGGAAATCCGAACCCTATAATCCCGAAACCAACCTGCACACATCAAATCAACCCCACAGGCCCATAGACCCTGCACCAAAATCCCAAAATCCGGGTGCTCAACCCCCATAGAAGGAACGCCATTCTGACTGTTAACTCAATCCTACCCTAAACCCTCAACCCTCAACCCTAAACCCTCATCCCTCAACCCTAAACCCTGAACCCTAAACCCTACACCCTAAACCCTAAACGCTAAACCCTAAACCCTCCAAGCTCGGCTGATGTTGGGACTCATTGGTCCGGCCTCTGCGCTGCCCGTAATGACTCCACTCATCTCGACTTCGGCCACCATCTGCAGCAACACCTGGCTTTGTTGCTTAGAGTTCAGGGTTTCAGGGTTATATGGGTTTAGAGCTTAGGGTTTAGAGTTGAGGGTTTTTGTTACTTAGGGTTTAGGTTTTTGGGTTATAGGGCTTAGGCTTAGTTGCTGAGTTCATGAGCCCCGGAAAGAAGTGCACACTTTCGGTTCTATAGGGGAGTTGTCGGCTATCTCCACCCCCTCCGCGAAAGCACCACGCAGGATCAATAAATACCATCAGGGAGAAAATCCAGCAAAAAGCTTTGCGTATGAAGCCATGGAGCTACACAACAGTCTGAAACATACCAAGTATCAGCTATCAAACTCTAACCCATGGCACCAATACCCGGAATCATCAAACCCAGTCAACCTCCGAAAAACCACCTCACGGTTTAGGGTTTAGGGTTTAGGGTTTAGGTCTGGGACTCAAAGGCAGCAGAGCCACGATGATGCAGAAAGGCGGGGCGCAAGCGACCTTCTTGAGAGGCTTCTGCGGAAACCTCATATCGCTGGGAAGGGCGAGCTTCGACAATGCTTGGCTCCACGGCTTGGTGCCCCCTAAACCCAAAGGATCCATGTACCTATATAGTATATACTTGGGCCCTAAAGCTACTATATAGGAACCCCTTTAAGGCCGAAGTATATACTATATAGGTACATGGATCCTTAGGGAAACCCTATGTTTACTCCCGGACACACACAGCAGCACAAGCCCAGAGTCTGAGATTGCAGGCCCCGGAAACCACGAAAGAAGACATCTTTGAGGGATTTCATGAAGATCAGAAACGTTTCCCAACGCCATAGGACATGATGTAGAAACTTCGTGTACGCCCGCAAAGCTCCCAAGCTAAACCCCAAACCCGAAATCTTTAACGCCCCAAACATCTTTAACCCAGGCACCTTCACCTCCTACTGAAACTCCCCCTAGAGGCCCCGAAGCCCCAACTAACCCCATACTAACACTCTCCCCTTAACTGCCCTAGCCCCCCTATTTCTCCCCTTCTTGGCCCCAAAACCCAAAACCCAAAACCCAAAACCCTAATAAACCCTAAACCCTAAACCCTAAACCCCTAAATCCCTAAAGCCCCCTAAAACCCTCCCCCCCCCCTTTAAAGGCTCCAAGGAGCCGCCTCTCCGCGGACAACCCGCAGCCTCCCTCAGCCGTTGCCAAGGCATCGAAGGAGGCCCGGACGAGGCCTTCCACGCCCACCTGCCAAGGCTCCTTTTTTAGAGTGCATGTAGAGTATACTATAAGGTACTATCATATACGATAGAATAGTATAACATACGATAATATGCTCGGATATACTCTGATAAGACTATGATATACTAGAATGTACTATAGCATACTATAATCTACTATTTTTTTAATATGCGAAGGCCTTCAGATTCCTTCAGGGGCTCCTATGAAACGTACTATCACTACAACAGAGTTCCCCTTAAAGGATAGCGTAGGGTTCGATGATAGGGTCCCCCTTACGGCTTCAGGGTTTAGGGTTCCTTTAAGGGCTTTGAAGGGTTTGGCTTTAGGCCTTCGGTCTTCGCACACCGACGACCCCGTACCAGCAGCTCCGTAGCCAACCAAGTCGCTGCTGTTCAGGTTCTGATTCATTGCCAGCCGTGGGCTAGATTTAAGCCTCATGTGCCTCCCCTAAACCCTAAACCCTAAACCCTAAACCCAAAAAACCCTAAACCCTAAACCCTAAACCCTAAACCCTAAACCCGAAACCCTAAACCCTTGTGAAGATCTCAAGCCCGGCAGTGCCAGGCAGCCGAACGCACCCTCAATCCTCAAGGAGGCTCAAATAGTGTCGGAGCCTTTATAATTCGAACAGGGTTTTCGTAGATATGTATATATATATATATATACATACATATTGTACTATAGTTATCATGAGGAGCTATATATATACATATATATATATATATATAGAGTACGATCATAATTATCATAAGGAGCCCCAACAAATGTTCTATAATTATCATCATAAGGATTAAGGTGCCTAAAATAAACGTTTCAGCACGCGATAACAACGTTCTGTGCAGACATGTCAGTTGTCTGTCGGTTACATATACTATGTCACAACACTAATAAGGCTCTAGGCAACGAACTGATAAGGATAGCAAAGCAGAGTAGAGCAGAGTAGAATAGAGTCGCGCCCAGCGTAGTAGTACAGCACAGCACGACACAAAACAATGTCAGACTGCTGAAAGTTGTGAAAGCCCTCCGACGTTCAGCTTGGGCCTTGGCAACATTATCGGACATATGGGGCTGGAAACTGTGCTTTGAATACATGTCTATCAGGGGATACCATTACCAGGGCTTAGGGTGTTTCGGGGCTTAGGGTTTCAGGGTTCAGGTTTGGCTTTGAGGGGGAGTTGGAGCTTAAGGCCTGGCAACTGCTCTCGGATTACCCAAGGCTCAAAGGCCCTTGAGGCAGAAGAACCTAAACCCTAAACCCTAAACCCTAAACCCTAAACCCCAAAACCTAAACCCTAAACCCTAAACCCTTAACCCTAAGGCAGGTGCCTCGGTGTCGCCGTTGGTCTTCAGGCTGATGCTCAACGTCGGTTCGAACTGGACGACACCCTCCTCGGGCTTGGCCGGGTTCGGAGTTGATAGAGGCTTCAAGGTTGTGGTTTGCGGTTTAGGATTTCGAGTTCAGAGTTTAGGCAGTAGATTAGGGTTTAGCCGAACGAGGCTAAGTATGATTTTTGCGTAGCTCCAGAAGCGGGCCGATTTGGTTTCTGCGTATAGCATCTTACACGGACGGCTTCTGTTTAAATGGCCCAAAATCACCGTTTCCCACTGACAATGAGGACCCTGAAGCAGTAGGGTTGTTATTCTACAGATCCGCAGACACGGACCCCTAAATAGGGCTCTTTGAGCCTCCAGAAGGCCAAACTCTGAAGCCTTAAACCGAAACCCTAATTCAACCTTTCGTAGAAGCCCGCTTGTCACCCGATCCTAAGCAAGATGCATGGCAACAAGACGAAACACGAGCACGACAAAGCACAACGACAGCAACAGCAACAGCATCTCAACTTACTCAACAGCATAGCTACTTCTGGCAGTGGCAGGAGCACTGTCGCTGCTACGACAACGGCGACCTGAACGATGGCGAGACTAGATGTACGTTTAGACCCGCAGCGTAGACAGTGGAAAGCAGCAGGTTGATGTACAACAAAGTCGAAAAACCTTACTGCCGAAATATGAATTAACTGTTAGCTAACAATAACAAGAAGCGTATGTAGTCATCGCCTCCCCAGCAGACAGGGTACGCAGCATCCTAGAGTACGAATCAAGCGACGTGTTATGGGCACGGTCCTGTTCTCCATCATCTCACTCTAGGACACGGTTAACAGCACAACTCCCCCCCCGTCAACTAATAAAACGCTTCTGCCCACCTAAGTCCCTAATCCCTGGTCCTGACCCCAACGCATACAGTAAATGGTGCACCCCACCCCCCCCCACCCCCCCACATCGTCGGCCCAGCTTCCAAGGCAAGCTCTAAGCTGGATTCGCCTAAGTTCCACAAAAGCATCGCCCTTCAACAGCAAGGGCACCCTTTCTCCTAGTTAGTACATTGTCTCCTCTATTGCTTTTTACTCTTGTTCAGTGTTTTTTCTTACAATGGAAACCAGGAAGCAGAGAAAAAACAAAAAACGTAAAGATGCTGGGTGTTCCTAGTTGCAGGACCCCGCCGGAGCTTTGGACTTGGAGCCCTTCATAGCCTTGCGTGACCTGGCAGCCAGTTTTAGGGTTTAGGGTTTAGGGTTTAGGGTTCAGGCACAGGGCAGTTCGGCCTGGGCTTTATGGGGTTTCGGCTTTGGGGTATCGGGTCCAGGGGTCCATCTGGCATAGAATCTAGTGCTCGAAGGAGGAGTTGGGGGTGTGCTTCTGCTTGCACTTTTTGTACCTGAGGCCTAATTTAGGGCCAGAGCTAGGAGGGTGTAGGGTTGGGTTGACGAGATTAGTGACCCTCAAACAGGCCCGTCGGTTGAGGATGGAGTTTGGGGTCCGCGTGCATGCAAACAAAGGACTGCTCCTGTCCGTCTCTGGGGTTTCTGAGATCCCGAAAAGGGCCTGAGGGAGGTTCCCGAGTGCTTCCGTTGCTGTTGGAAAAGGTTGCCCGGCAGCTTGATCTTGCCCCCGCTGCTGGCGTCGCCCATCTCAAAGGAACTGCTGCTGCTGGACGAGATACCAAAGCCCTGGCACAAATGACTGAATGAAAACGACCAACAGCCCAACCACTACGACGACGACTACTACTACCACTACTGCTACTGCACTACAAACTACATACTCCATACGACATAGTACATCTACGACGGGTGCACTCGCGACTGCGACTGCAACGACTACACGACTACTTGAAACTACTGTTTCGTTGACGAGGTCTGCAGCGAAGATAACAACTTGTAAGCGTCGATGTGCTCAGTGTGGTTTTGTCCTTAGCATCATCGTCGTAATGCTCAGTCTGATCTTGAAGATCATCATGCTCATGATGCGTCGGGTAGGCGCCAGTGCTTTGGACTCTGACAAGCGCCAGACCCTGAACATAGCATACGTCTCCACACGATGCTAGGGCTGCTGGTGCAAGCCCTCACCCCTTGAAACCAAGAAAGACCAAACAGAGAATTAAGAATGTGGTGGAACAATTGGTGCGTGCAGCTTCTACCCACATGGCCTGGGCGAAGTCGCCTGTGTGTTTGAACTTGCATTTCATGGAGAGGCCGGACAAGGAGGCGCTGACATCACTTCCCCCGTCGCAGTCGCACATATTACCGATCAGCATCTTGCACCTCGACATTTGTTGGCTGAAGGGGTGGACCGATTCTTGATTGTAGAACAACCACCTATATATATATATATATGTATGGTATACATACATACATACATATATGTATATATACATAGAGGGAGAGAGAGTACACAATGGTACGCACATACATGTACATGTATATTAACACAGAGGTACCTACAGGATCTTAGCAACGGTGATGAAAACAATGGCAGCGCCACTAGAGAAGACCCCCGCATTGACAGCACATTTAACTAGACATGTGTCGGGAGTCATGCTCATGAAGGCAAGGTTACCAGAAGCATCAGCAGCAACAGCAGCAGCACTAGCATGCGACTTCGAATCCGTAGATGGCAATGAGCTGGTACATGAAAATAGCAGCAGCCAGAGGGGGTCAAAGCACAGCAATAAGTAACAGAACGAACCCCCAAGCTGCATTCAACACACGACGGCGTCCCCACGGTTCATGATCACGCCCTTATAGTCACCCATATAGTAACCCCTAAACCCTAAACCTTAAACCCCAAGCCCTAAACCCTAAACCCCAAATCCCAAACCCGAAACCCTAGAGAAGTCCATTAAAATCAGGGAGACAAGGCACAGGGTGAAGGATTGGGCGAGGCAGTTGATGAACTTCTTGATCTCGTCCCAGGCAGCTTTGGCGAGGCCCACAGCAAGAGGCCCTAACTTGGCAATCTCGCCACCTGAAAAACCCTCCATAAATGCAGGGGGGCCCAAGAAACATGGGGGTTTAGGGTTTAGGGTTTAGGGTTTAGGGTTTAGGGTTTAGGGTTTAGGGTTTAGGGTTTAGGGTTCAGGGTTTAGGGTTTAGGGTTGATGCAGGGGCCTCAATAAACATAGGGTTTAGGGCTCTGAGGTAGATTCTGCCATTCTATCGGGACTGATTAAACGCACGCGGGAATACAATGCACTTATTCAGACCCCTGTCAAAAAAAAGGCGGCAGGATCCTCACTGTAAAGCTCCCGTTATGGTCCCCACGCGCGTTGTGGTGATTCTCTCCCTGTACAGGCATGTCTCAACCCACACAAAGCAAAGAGTATAGGGTTTAGGGCTAACCCCCTGTCAAAACCCTAAACCCTAAACCCTAAACCCTAAACCCTAAACCCTAAACCCTAAACCCTAAACCCTAAACCCTAAACCCTAAACCCTAAACCCTAAACGTCAAGGAGCTGGGGCCACGAGAAGATGAGAACTGGATCTCCCGCAGCTCATCCAGCAAAGCACGCCCCCAGAACCCAAAAGACATCCACAAGCTCAAGGGGCTTGTTTAGGGTTTAGGGTTTAGGGTTTAGGGTTTAGGGTTTAGGGTTTAGGGTTTAGGGTTTAGGGTTTGGAGCTTAGGTCCCTGGGCCCTCGAAGCCGAAATCACCATACCCTGCACAACTTTCAAATCTACTCTCGACCCCGACACCTCACCCATGCTCCATTCTTTTGGGTTTGCGATTTCCGGCAGCCCGCCTGAAGCCCGAACATTTCAAAGCATTATAACCCCCGGCACCCTTCTGGAGGCCCTCCTGAACCCTGACCGGATCGTTGTAAGGAGCCCTAAAACCCCAAAGCACCTAAAAGCCCATGAGCCCAGAACCCAGAACCTTGAACCCTAAACCCTGAAACCCAAAACCCAGAACCTTGAACCCTAAACCCTGAAACCCTGAAACCCTAAACCCCAAAGCCTCTGAAACGCGCGCGGCCAAGCCACCCAAGGCAGTAGCCTTGCTGGCGATTTCGTTTCCCACTGTGCTGGCGAGTCTCACTCCCTGTGTGGCGGGGTTTTGAGTGTGAGAGGGCTTAGGGCTAAGGAGTAGTAGGGCGGAAGCGGCAAAACGAACCGACTACGGAATATTCCGAGAATGACGTCGGTTGTGATTTGAGAGATCTTCCGGAACTGAGGGAAAGCAAAGCTCGCTGACCCTCTTAGTAGCCCAGTAACCATGCCATGACAAGGGCACCCTCTTTTTTGGGTTGGTTTACTATATAAGGGAACCCAAAACCAAAAACGTGTAAAAGGTAAGACTGGGCTACCATGCCCTAAATCGGTTCCTAAACCCTAAACCCTAAACCCTAAACCCTAAACCCTAAACCCTCTCTACCTATGTATATTTAAACCTTAATGGGGCTGTGCTCCCGGTTTGGTCGTTTAGGATTTAGGATTTAGGATTTAGGATTTAGGATTTAGGATTTAGGATTTAGGATTTAGGATTTAGGGTTTAGGGTTTAGGGTTTAGGGTTTAGGATTTCGGATTTAGGATTTAGGATTTAGGATTTAGGGTTCAGGGGCCTCTCTGGGGCCTCCGAGGCACTTGCTTCCTCCTGGCTGGGAGGGACCGTTTTGGTCCAAAAAATCTAGAAAACGAGAGCCCACCCAGAACCGTCGATTTCAGTACTAAAGAATCGCACTTTTAATAGGGGCCCGGGCCGATCCTGGGGTCCCCCCCTCATTTGGGGTGTTTTTGGAAGCAAACTTTCCCTCTCAAGGGGGGGTCGGAGTTTGAGGCAAGGGGGGGTCTCCGAAGACTATTTTGCCTTTGAAATTGAAAAATACCACCCCCCCTTGACCAAAACTAGGCTGTGAAAAGGTCGCGGGGGCGGCCCTTCATCAGAACTGAGGCTTAAAAACCTTGAAAAACATTGAAAAAACCGTTAAAAACATTGAAAAAACTCTGAAAAATTCTAAAAAAACCTTGAAAAACCTTGAAAAACTTGCACCCAGAACTGTCGATCCCAGTACTAAAAAATCACATTTAAATAGGGATCCTGAAATCCCCCTCATTTGGGGTGTTTTTGGAGGCAAACTTTCCCTCTCAAGGGGGGTCGGAGTTTGAGGCAAGG